CGCTGCCTGGAGACTGCCTCGCTTGCCCACCTGCCACTTTACTTTTCCAGAACCTGTGAGCGTGGCTGGAAAAAACGACACGGTGTTCATAGCACAACCAAGAGGAGACCTCCCCTTTTGTACATCTCTCCACCAGAAACTGTACAAGGAGCTCTGACACAGTTGTTTCACTTAACCCTTCCAGAAACCCCAAGACGTGGGTACCACGCAAACCCCATGCTACAGAGCAGGGGGCCGTGGCTCCTCTGACAAGTCCCAGATCATGCAATCTTAAGTAGCACAGGCAGGATTTAGGATTTGACCCTAGGTCTATGAAGCCCCCAAACCCAAACGATGCAGTTGCTGGGGTGTGACATCTGGAAGCAGAGTAAATATCCTCAGAGCTGGGATGCTGCTTCCTCTGGTTTGCTGCTTTATTCTGTTTTGGAGACTCATCTGTAAATAGCCGCTGCCTTGCTTTCCACTTTCCCTGTGGAATACCGCTCCCACGCCTCCTGGTTGCCAACCTGGAGGTCACTGGTTAGGACCCTTCCCACAGAGTCTAGCTCTGAAGTTTGGAGGTGAGCGCCCTGCCCAGGCCTGGGTGTGGAGGGCCGTGGGGGATACGTTCCTGCTTCCCCACCCAGTCTTGCTGTCTCCGCGGGCTGGGCCATGTGTCCCAGATCTACCCTAACTAGAAAAGAAAAGGGAACTACTCTTCAAAAGTCTGTAGGTGGGCGGCTAGCTGCCTTTTTAATTCCTCTCTGCCCACTTATTCCAAAGGCATCTGACAGGGAGGCCAGGCTAGTGAAGATGGCAGGAAGTTTCCTTGCAGTGGAAGCAACTGCCTGTCTAAAAAAAGCTCTATTTAAAAAAAAAAAAAAAAAAAAAGCTCAACTCGGAACTAAGAGCTTGCTGAGAATGTGTTCTGGCTGCCGTTATTTATTTATACCCCCACCTACTTCCAGAAAGGATTTCAAGTTGCTTACAATAAAAACTGAGCTAGATCTGTATACAGTGTAGAAATAAAGAGAAAAGCCAGATGAGAGACTGTATCAGAGCCGCCTCGATCCCACAAATGGGCAGTGTGCTTCTGGAAGGAGGTCGGCTACCCTATAGCTGAGGATCATTCTCCAGAGAGTGAAAACTCTATCTCCATGTTCCCTGTTGGAGCAAAAGAGGCGCAGATGGGGGCGCCTACGTGGCGCAGTCTGTTAAATGTCTGACTCTTGGTTTCAGCTCAGGTCATGATGTCATGGGTCATGAGATTGAGCCCCGCATCGAGCTCCATGCTTAGTGGGGAGTCTGCTGGAGATTCTCTCCTTTTGCCCCTCCCCCACTCACATGTGCGTGCACCAGCGCGCACGCGCAAAGAAGTGCAAGAAGGGAAGAGGTCCCAGGAAGCACTGGAGGAGGGGTGGGGAGGAGGTCCTGGAAGGGAAGGCAGCCAGGAAAGACCATCCCTGTGGGCACCTGGGCTCCTCTTGCTGGGGCCCCCCGGGAAATGGTTGAGAGAAGGTATCCTCTGCAGGGGCAACGAAGCTGGGGCACTCACCCACCAGCTTCTTTTTGTTCTTGGGTGGGGGCTCCCCCAGGAGTATCAGTGCCCCACACATGAGCCAAGCAGCTCTGGCAGCCAGCGAAAGTCCCAGGTCAGGTCCTCGGGACTTGCAGTGTGAGCCATGGAACGGGTGGGGCCCAGCCAGTCCCTGCTGCATTCTCTGGGAGGGCTGGGCAGGCAGCCTCACTGGCCTAGAGACAGATGGAATCAGCCCTGTGGTATAATGAGAATCCAAAAGGAGAGGCTACCGGGTTCCGAGGGATGGCTGGGGGAAGAGAGGGCAGTGGAGGCCCCGGTGAGGCTGGCCAGAGTCCCTGGCTGCCTTTTGGGGTGGGCAGGAGCTGTGTTGACTAACAGGGGGAGGTCCGTCCTGAAGGAGCATTTTGGTCCCAGGCCCTGTAGGAAGTCAGGCCACACCAGGGTGTGCATGCGAGGTGGACGCAAGGCTATACCTTGGGTTTGCCCAGCCCTCCCCTGGAGTATCGTGGACACCATTTCATCTGGTTACGAGGTGAGTCAGGGCCTGGCGGAATGCCTCGGCCACACTAAGGAAGCCCCACCTGGGGAAGAGGAGAGGAGACCCCTGATACCGTAGCAAATGATCCCAGGGATTGTCATAAAATGTGTCTCACCTCATGACCTGGCTCCAAAGCTTCCACTTCCAGGAAGCCCTCCCTACTTTGACTGTTCTCTTTGACTCTGCCTTTCTGAAGCTCACGGTTTGATTTAGTCCTGGATAACAGTCCTGCCCTCCTAACCAGATGCCCAATGTCTCCTGCTTCCATTCTGCCTTGTCAACCACCCCCTTGATGTATCCTGGGTATGGTGTGGCTGAAAGGGCTGTCCCTGGACTCAGACTGTTCATGTTCAAGTTCCACTTACTGGCTATGAGACATGGGGCACGTTATTTGGCTTTTCCACACCCCAGTTTACGCATCTGTAATATGGAAGCAACAACACCCGCTTTATAACATCCTTGTAGGGAGTCAAAGAATGAATATTTAGAATGGTCCCTGGTACATAGTAAATGCTCAATAAATACTAGCTGTAATAATAATGGTGATTACAATAATAAAGACTTCTGATTGCAAACTGTCTCTTGCTCTCCAGTATTTACAGATTAAAATACAAATTCCTCAGTCAGTGTTTAAGACTGCAAGGCTTTCTTTTTTCTTTTCTTTCTTTCTTTCCTTTTCTTTCTTCCTTTCTTTCTCCTTCCCTTTTTTAAAGATTTATTTATTTTAGAGAGAGCAAGTGCAGGGGGAGGGGAGAAGGAGGCGGAGAGAAAGAATCTCAAGCAGACTCCCCACCTCCACTGAGTGGAGAGCCTGACGTGGGGCTTGATCTCACGACCCTGAGATCATGACCGGAGCTGCAATCAAGAGTCAGACACTTAACTGACTGAGCGCCCCAGGCGCCCCTGCAAAGCTGTTTCTCACTTCCCACTCACTCCCAACACAGTCCCACCCTTCCCCTCACCTCTTTCTGTCCTTTCCCCTGGGCCCATCCTCACAGTTGATTTCCTGATTTCTTAGGTCAGGATGCATGTGCCTTGATACTTAGTCCCAAACAGTGCCTGGAACAGTTGGCAATCATAAGTATTTCTAAAAGGAATAAATGATAAGCTCCTTGGCACTGGTTATTAATCATCTTACGTCTCCGTAGTGTCTGATGCACCTGGCACGGGGCCAGGCCCCCGGAGTATCAGTTCACACCAAGTGAACGGATACATGGTGGATGGTGCACCTGCCACATCACTGTCGTGTAGGTATTTCCAGGTCCCATCACAGAAGCTTCTCATGAATTGTTTGTCTAACCATTTTATATCATCCCCATTCTACAGATGGGAAAAAGGAGGCTGGGCAAAGTTAATAACTTGCACTCAGTCACCTGGCTGATTGGTGGCTGAGCAGGAGTTAAAACATGTTCATCTGCTTCTAGCGCCCTTGCTCTTGATAAAAGGCATTACCCTCCACTGCCTCTTGGTTCACGGACCTGCTTTACCTTCTGGGTTAAAATAAAAGCTCCTTTATGGTGTCCAGCCTTGTCCTGCTCTGGGCTAGTGGTTACCAAGCTCAGTGGGGGCCTGTCCACTGAAGCAAGCCCTCCCCTCAGCCTGGCAGGGTAGGTCAACAGCTTCCCACATGGGTGGGGGAAGCACGCCGATGTCTCTTGTTCTCCTTGACACCAAGGGCCTGGCTGGGCCCCAGAAGGTCATCCTGGGTCTGGCTACTCAAAGTCCAGGTCACGGCGCCTGCTCCGTAAGTGCAGTCTGCTGCCCAGCCTCAGTGGCATAACCAGGAAGCTTGTTAGAAATGCCCCCCACCTCCTCAGCCCCGCCCCCCAGCACCACCAAACCGACTGAGTCAGAGCCTGCAGGCAAGCACCGCCCCCCCTTCCCCAGCAGCTTCCCAGCCCCGGTGCTCACTGTCCTCCTCCTTTTGGCATCAACACTTTGTCTCTGAATCTTCAGGAGCTTTCATCCTATTCTTTTTCTAGCACACAAGGCACCAAACCAGCCAATGTGATAATTTGGATTATTTTAAAGGTACGTTTACCAGCATCTTAGGCAAGCAACATAAGCTACTTAAGGAGGCCAGAAGAGCATTCTAGTTAGAGTCATTCATTCATTCATTCATTCAACATGTACTGAGTGCCTACTGTGTGCCACCCACAGCGAACTGACGTCAGCGGACATAATACATGCAAAAACCAGTTTAAAAAATTGAAGTACCTCATGTGTCTCCAGCAACATATCCCAGACCAGTCAACATACACCACCAACCCTTGATCCCACATTTTCTCCCTCCTACCTTCTCTCTTTATTTCTACCCGTGGTGAAAGCCATTTCTCACGGAGCTCTGGGGAGCACGGCAGGACCTCCTGCCTCCCCAGGAAGGAGTCACGCCTGTGTTTTTCCCAGTCCTGGCTCAGGGGTTTGACCTCCTCTCTCAAGCGGGACTCTGGCCCAGGGGAGGGCCCCCATAATGTCGGTTGGACCTTACATCTGGATGGGTGTTTTGAAAACACTGCCCCGCGTACCCTCCAGGTCTCCACTGGGCTCTGTACACGTGTCTGTCATGACTCCTGAAACACCTCACTGGTTTCACCTATCTCCCTCACCAGACTGTACATCCTTGCGAGCAGCAACCTTAGCTTATTCACTCACGCCACCAGCGCCTTGCACATGGCCAGGCGCATAATGAGTGCTCAGTTTGGGGTTCTTGAGTGAACACACGCATGCCTGAGTGGATCAGAGGAAACAGCCATCCTACTTAGGGACTGTCCGAAGACTGCCACGTGGAGGGAGGTGGCCATTGCGGAGCCCCACTCAGCCCACACATATGTCCTGGGCCAAATGTGGGTGGGTGCCCCCTCCGGGTCCGGGGCCAGGGGACAGGGAAGAAGGGAGCGGGCCTGGACGCGAGGGCCCGCAGCCTGGCTCGGAAGCGTCTCTTACCGTGGTGTATTTACCCAGCTGGCAGAGGGAGGGGAAGGTTTCCTGGTGGGCTTTGCGGATCTTCTCTGTGAGATCGTCCAGCTCAGCCGTCATTTCATAGCTTTCCGTGCATTCCTGCTTCGAAGGCTCCTTCTTCTTCTTGTTCCTATCATTCCTGACAGCTGGAAAGGAGAGAGAAGGCAAATTAGGGGTCACTAGTGGCCAGGGCTGCACCGCCTGAGCTGGAAGTTTCCATTTCCTGATGCTGCCTGGTCTCACTTGACACTTGGAACAGGAACAGTGGGAAAAGATGCCATAAAGACATCTCCCGAGCAGAGAGGTTTGGCGGCCAGAAGGGCCAGGCAGAGAGAAAGGTTTGCCTTTCTGCGTGTGCACCTGCCAACCCACTCTTTCTTTTTTTTTTTTTAAAGATTTTATTTATTTATTTGACAGAGACAGAGATAGCAAGAGCAGGAACACAAGCAGCAGGAGTGGGAGAGGGAGAGCAGGCTTCCCTCCGAGGAGGGAGCCCGATGTGGGACTCGATCCCAGGACCCTGGGATCACGACCTGAGCCGAAGGCAGACGCTTAATGACTGAGCCACCCAGGCGCCCTGCCAACCCACTCTTAAAGAGAGGTGAGGCTCACCCAGAAGGCTGAGAGCCTCTGTTTGCTTGGGCTTTCTATGTGGACTGGTCCTCAAAGAGATGATTTTTCCAAGCACATGCCCCCTGGTTGCAGAGGGGATGGCTCACGAGGCATTACAAGGGAACCACTTCGGCCTGGGAGACACATTGCTGAATAAAACCTTTGTTGCGTCATAATTCGTGATTCCTGGCTAAGCCTTCTGGTTTTTGCTGTTTCTTAGTTTTCCGAATTAACTGACACTTTTGAAGAGATTCATCTTAAAGCTGACGGGATGATGATTTTTGCCCCTTTATGCTTTTCTGCTTCCTAGGCTGTTGGTATTAGTTATGTAATCTTTTATTATTATTTATATATATTACATATTATATACATTATAAAGTATAAATAAAATACTACTGTTATAAAAAGTTATTTTTATTTTAGTTTTTATTTTCTTTAAAGATTTTATTTATTTGACAGAGAGAGAGAGCACAAGCAGGGGGAGCAGCAGGTAGAGGGAGAGGGGGAAGCAGGCTCCCCATTGAGCAGGGAGCTCGATGCAGGGCTCGATCCCAGAACCCCGGGATCATGACCTGAACCGAAGGCACACGCTTAACTGACTGAGCCACCCAGGCGCCCCTAAAAAGTTATTTTAAAATAACAATTTATGCATCATGAGCCCATGGCCTGAAAAACGACTTGTCCATTCAATATTCGCTTAGTTATCTGTAACTGCTCGACTCCGCATCTCGTCCAGCCCACTGGCCCCTCAGTAGGTGTGTGTCTTTGCCTCTGCTGAGCTTGGTGCCAGGCAGAGTCAGGCCCCTGGGCTCGGGGCGGTGGAAGCCCATGCTTCCCCTCACAGCACAGAGCTCTCAGATGACTTCAAACTGAGTGTAATGCAAAGCTCTGGCCCCTGGTGAGGATCTCCTGGGGAAGGAAACTGAAACCCAGAGAGGCCAACAGGTAAAACTAGACCACGCAAGCCTGTCCTGGGGACCCAGGGGTTGCCAGGCTGGATGCCACCTGGCCGTGTATGACACCTCCATGACCCGGGAATCTGTGTTGCAAAATGACCCAGGTCATAATCCGATCTGCCCTAAGAGGATTTGGCCTGCGTTGCCTTCCTGAGAGCACCCAGGGTTGATCTGAGAACTCGCAGCTCCCTGGGTCTACACTGCGAGGATCCCGAGGCTCTGCCCAGGGCAGGAGCTGAGGGCAGAGTAAAAGGCAGGCATGCGGAGGGCAGGAAGGTGCAAGGAAATAGCTGGGAATACATGGTAGTGAACAAACCCAGTGTCTGTGTAAGTCACTGACACCTGACCAGGCGGGAGGGCGGTCTGTGAGAATATTCACGTTTCTTGAGTATCTTAAGCATTGTACTGGGAACTGTGTCCACAGTATCTCACTTAATCCCCTTATCAGGTAGGTAATTTTAAACTCATTTTACAGATGAACAAACTGAGCATCAGATAGACCAAAGAAGGTTTACACAGTTGCCAAGTGCTTTCTTCCCTTGGACTCACTCATTCCTAAGGGAGCGGACATGTTTGAGAAGAAAACAATACCTCTCCAGATGATTTTCTCCCCCTAGGACTCTGAAGTGACACTGTTCTTTGGCTCAGAACACTTCCAGATCTAAGGTGAGCGGGCAAAGACAGCATGAAGTAACTCAAGCCTCCAATGTATTCCTTTCCAGGGCAGATTGGCCAAGTGCCCAGACCATTCCTAGCAGAGGCAGGATGTGGGGTGAGGGCAGCATATGGTCGAAAGCAGTTAGAAAGCAAAGAACACAGTCAGCAAAGGAGGGACCGTGAGAGTGGAAGAGGGAAGCGCATGGTCGCAGAGATGCCCTGGTGGCTCTCCTCTAGGACAGAGTCTGGGTCCGTGAGGGGAGGCTGTGGCCGGAAGCCTGTGTGAGAGCACTGGGGGTTCTCAGCACACGTTAGCTGACCCCTCCTTTCCTGGCTCCTGTGCATGACCCTCTTTGTTAGTTAACACAAAAGTTGTATGTAAGCAGTGAGGGTCCTTCTAGAATAGAGCCCCGAGGAAAATTGTCTGGCAGTTCCTTGAAAAGTTAAACATAGAGTTACCATATGAGCCAGCAATCCCATTCCTGGGTCCACCCAAGAGAACAGAAAATAAATGTTCATGTAGAACGTGTACACCCGTGTTCCCAGTGGCAATATTCAGAACAGCCCCAAAGTGGAAATAACCCACATGCCCACCAACTGATGAATGGGTACCCAAATGTGGCGTATCCACGCAATGGAACAGTCTTGGCCATACAAGGAGTGAAGTACTACACACGTGACAACATGGAGGAACCCTGACAACATCATGCTCCGTGAAAGAAGCCAGTCACAAAAGATTCTATTTGTGGGATGTTCAGAGAAAGCAGATTCATAGACAGAAGGCAGACTGGTGGTCGCCAAGGGCTGCGGCGCGTGGAAGATAGGAGGTGACTGCTAATTGGCATGGGGTTTCTTTGTAGGGAGATGAAATGATGAAAATGTTCTGGAATTAGACAGTGGTAATGGCTGTGGAACCTCGTGAACATCCTACAAACTGCTGAACTGACTACTTTAAAGGGATGAATGTTACGCTATGTGAATTATACCTTACCATCAGAAAAACAAAAACCCAGACCCCTGAGGGAGGCCGCAAGCCACTGAACGCTAGGAATTGCTCCGACCAGAATCAGAAACCAAGATGCACCTTTGACCACTTAACACAGCAGTAATAGTAATACCACTTATTGATTGTTTGGCAAGGGCCAGCCATCACCATAAGCAATAGAAGAATTCTAATTCCCTAAATTCCACAGTGAACCAGATGAGGTAGGCTTTAAAATTCCACTTCTATACTCTCAAAGCTGGAGGCCCAAGATCCCCCTGTCTGAAAGTGGTCAAGCCAAGATCTCAGTGGGATGTAACAGAAAAGCAGAGGGAGGAACCGCATGCACGCACACCATTACCCAGAATCCCATCCCCAGGCAGGTCTGGAGGGCCTGAGTCCGCACTTCTAAGCGTTCTGCTTCTCTGTCCCCCATCCACCCGCAGCCGCCTGGCAAATTACCTGGAAAACTCATGTGAGAAAACACAGCCCCAGAGGTTACCTGTGAGGTGGGAGCGCCCCCCACTGAGCATCTACGCCAAGCCAGAAAGGGACAGGTGAGGTCAGGCGGGAAGGGGACCCCGGTGAGCCGTATGAAGCAGGGCACTGAGTGGGGGCCCTCGGTTGGATTGTGCAGACAGCACCCACCATTTGCAAAACTAACAGCTGTAAAGCCAGAGCTCCATCTTCTGTGCTTTGAGACCCGAACTCCGAGCACACTTAGCAGCTGACTGGCTGCCAGGGAACCAGTGTGTCACCTCGGGCTCCCTTCCAGACAGCGCCTGCCCTCCCAAGGCAGAGCGCCTCTCCTACTGTCTCCACGATCAAAGGACTCCCGGGACTATCGGGACTCCTCAGCAATGGCAGGATGCCATGCCCCCGCCCCCCCCGTGATAACGCCCCAATTACGTAAAGGGTCAGAAGCAGATGGATGAGTGTTCCAAACACATGGCTTCAACAACTGCTTTGCTCAACGGCTGCAAACGGCCGTGGATGGCAGACGCGGTACCTGGGCCAGGCGCGGGACACCACGAGGGCCTGGGTATGGCGGCTCGGTCCAGCCGCGGGGGACTCACGGCCAGCAGCATCTGGGGCAGGGCAGGAGCTTGCCCCCTTGCAGGGGACCAGCGTGGGGCAGGGGGTGACACAGGTGCTGCTAGGGGGCCGGGGCTCCACCACCATCCCAGGGGACCCGGCCCCTCTCAGAGACTCCCCGAAGGCAGCAGCCCCCTCCCAGAGACGTGTGGATGCCCCGCTAGGTGGGAAGCGGTGCGTCTACTGCAAAGGCTTCTGCAGGCTGGTCATACAGGAGGGAGAATTTCAGGCCCTCCCACGTGGAAATGGTGGACCGGAACACGGCAGGTTTGTGGACTTCACTGTGAAGCTCACGGCTGCAAGTGGCAGTGATGTTTCTGAGGAAGCCGCCCGGGAGCGGCCCCAAACGAGCAGATGGATGCGTTTGTTCCTTCGTTGTCTGTCCATTCACTCATTCGGATATTTTTTGAGCATCTAGTATGTACCATCTGCTGCGGGGATGAAGCGACGCTGAGCCACACAGACAGTCGCTGCTGCTGTGGAACTCACTTACGGGGAGAGACAGGCAGTAATCATACAATAACAATACCGGTGTCGCTATTATGCTGTGTGCTGTGACTCACACTGGGGTGGTGTTCTAATACTGGAAATGCTCATTACAGCTACCGAGCAGCAACGGGGCCCTTGTAGAAGCCTTCTGTTCATATTCGGCCATTCAACAACCTGAGAGGAAAGTACCCTTATTATGCCTGTTTTGCAGACGAGAAAATCGAGGCACAGAAAGCTCGCTCGCCTGCCCAAGGCCGTGCATCCTGTAAATGACGTAGTGGGGATCTGAACTCAGAACACCTGGCCCTGGGGCCTTCCCTCTGAAGGGAGGTGTGCTCTGGCATGTCACGCACAC